CTGTGTGCCACCTGTATATGGTTGGAAACCTAAATGTTTCTTTTCAGAGAAGACCTACATGAAATCTCATGACTGGAAACAGGTTTGTAAGCCTTACAAGGGATTAAAAATGGTCTCTTAGAGAAACTACATGTAAAATATTGCAAAATTGTAGTAAAATCCTCACTGTTCTGCAGCCTCAATGTTCTGCACAAAGCCATTAACCTGCATGTGTATCTAATCTTTTTGTTCTTAAGGTTGCAATTGATGGCAGCAGCGTCAAGCATTCTTCAAAATTCTAGATGTACTGGCACTGTTGTGTCAGGGCTCAATAACGGCTGATAAGTTACCTGTCCTTGACAGGGAGGTAAACCTAGTGTTAGCACTGATTGAAAGAGATTTTCCTATCAGTGTCCAGGTAAATTTCTCTATGTTAACAATATATTTTCCAGGCAAAATAAAGTATAAGTAATGCATAATGCATAATTATCCATGCACCCCCAGGAATGTTTCTGGGGACATTATTATTATAAATTTATAATTATTGTTATTAGTATAAACTGTTAAAACGTAGCTGTTATACACACAAACCACTACTGATTGTTGATTCAATGCTGTAATCTATTTGTCTGAGATGCAAATTCACAACAGGTTAACGATTATTTTTTACACAGACAATAAGTCTTCACCTTTTGCACCACATTGTTCAAGGGATTCAAGAACAAGGCCCAGTGCATAGTTGGACAATGTACGTGTATGAGAGGTTCAATAGCTGGATTTCCCAAAGGGTGATGAACCGACTCCACCCAGAGGCAACTGTCATGGAAACCTATAGGGTAAAGTAACTTTAACTTCCCTGTAGTTCTATTACTGTTTCAGATGAGAGTGTTTTAACAATAAATTATTTAGTCCCTAACCTATAAACCTGACCCAAAGTTTAAAAAAGGAATTGTTAGATTTATATTTAATATCTACTCACAATTGCACTGCAACTACAGAACGGCTTACAGATAAACAATCATTGCACACACACAAACACACACACACACACACACTCGTTTTGTTGCGTTAATTAATGCATTATTTTGATAGCTGTTGTTTAAACCTGCTATGGTTTTTGTTGTTATTCACTGCAACACTCTATATACCAGTATCTATTTGTCTATCGTTGTTTCCCCAAAGAAAAGATAAGTAATGCAATAATATGTTTTCATTTTGGTAGCTCACCAATCATGATCAGCTTAATTGCATATACTCATCGTAAATATTGACTTGTTCACAAACAGATCTTTGAGTGGGTCCAGTACATGCACCACTCTGGACGATTGTCTTCAGATGATGACAAACAACAGTACATCCTTATAGATGAAGAGGATATAACTGCTGATGTTGGCGAACAACAACCACCAAGAAGCAGTATGCACAGAGGAAATGGCCACCAACTTACTGCTCATGAATTGACCTTTCGTAAGAAAAACATTGACTCATTTAAATTTGCTCTGAGCAAAGTGTCAGACGAGGGATGGCTTATAAAAAGGGCATTTACCTCAGAAAGAAGAAACAAAACAACAGGTAAACTGGAGTTGTAGAGAGGTCATGCTGCAAACACTAGCACTGATGGAACAATATCTTCTGTTGTGAGGATAAAGAGCGGCTCTAAATGTGTTGGAAGGGTTGGACAAGTTAGGCATTTCATTTCGTTGCAGAATAAAAGTGAAACAATTGAATTTGTACCTGTTGATTTATATGCCAGTAGTGTGAAGACTGACAAAGACAGTGGCCTACACTACACAGACGCAAGAAAAATGGAAGAGGTTTTCTCTTCAGTAAACATTTCCAAACCAATGGTCAAAGCAACAGATGATGAAAACCCCCATGTAATGTGGATTCTCAATTCTAAAAATGTTTAATTTCGATGACGTTGATATAGTCTCTGTTTTCTTAAATTTTATGACATCTTAAAAATCCACTGAAAATAGTATTTCGTTTGTCACTTTTTATAATGCTATATGAATTGGAGTTACTCTTTTCTTGGTATACCACTGTATACCAACCTTTACAGATTTTTTAATAGTAGGCATACATGTTTACTCAGATTGATTGTGCAATTGGATTTACTTACACATGTATGCATAGCACTTACAGGCAGTGAAACATGATCGAAACATGCATTCATGCAATGCAAAATATAATGTTATATAAATACATTACATTACTTATAGTAATGTAATAGAATCAATTTATCACAATTACATACAGCTTTAAGTTGCAGCTCACGTGGTACTGATAAATAATTAAATAAATAAATCAAATGAAAACAGAGCATCATAGATAAGAGTTGTTCTACTGTTTGTTGTAATGCACATATATTTGTAATTTAGTGACATTTTATGACAAAATCATTTCACATGTGTGAAAAGATTTCACTTAATAATAATAATAATAATACTTATATAGCGCCGATATCAATATTGCTATTTTCATCAGCGCTTAAAAATAAAAATATTAAAAAAATAAAAATAATAATAATAAGTGCATAAAGTATACATGCAAAAAGAGCATGAACCTACCAAAAAGAGTAAAACAATTATGTCAATACTAAAACTATAGAAATTACCTAGACTACTTAAGAGCAGCCGTCTGTAAATATCGCCTGGGGGCGTGCAAAATGAAAAAAATCGAAAATCCTCAAACTTTGTCAGAATATAGCTCTAGGTAAACTATTTCTAGAAAAATGACTTTTAGTTCGATTAGCTTTTTTTTACGTGTGCAGCGACCAACTCGGTTTGGGGGCTCACAGGTTGGGTTTCACGGGATAAAGACAGTGAATTACTTAAAAATCGTTTAAAAATTAAAGAAGAAACAAACTCTGCTTCTGAAAACCTTAATAGTAAGAGTGCAAATTAAATAATATTTTCAAAGTGGAATTTTCCTATTTGACAACAAACTCGATATTTTTCAGATTTTTAATTATTTTACCTAATTTGCTGACTTTTGACAGACAAAATATTGACAAAATTCGGACTCAAAAATCACTTCTTGGTATACGCCTTTGAGGCATAACTTTCCTACAGATAGAAAGAGCAAGGTGTCTTCCTCAAATTAATGCAATAAAATTTTTGAGCAATCCAACGGGGAAAATATTCCAGTGCCAAATGAAAGTTGCCCTTGACGTCAAATTCACGCCACTTTTGTCACGGTATTCCAAGGTGTTAAAGGGACTGGTTCATGATAATGCGCATGCGCGCCATTTGTCTCTTCAGAATAAATTTGTCAGGTCAACACTAAATTTGAAATCGCCATTACCGGTACAATCATTTTAAGAAGACGCAAAAAATAATGTTTTGATCATGGAGGTTCAGAAGAGCATCGTGGCCGTCCGGCAACAGGAGGTTCTCAAGAGTCTCTGGAGATAGAGAAGCTTAGCCTATCGATCTGGTATGGTTCTAGGAGTAGTGTGTGGCATACGAAAAGAATACAAGACACTTGGAAAGTGGTTAAAGGCTTGAGTTTGCTCAATTTTGATTTGATTTTTGACTCTGACCTGTAGTTATACCACAACAGGCCGTGTGATCTTCACCGATCTGGTACGGAATCTGGACAATTCGCTCCCCAGACAATTAGCCCCTGACAACTAGCCCCCACATTATCGACAATTAGCCCCCACTTTCTAGACGATTAGCCCCCAACCACATTGTGATATATAAAGTTAAAAAAACACAACATTGTGAGTTATGATATAATAAAATTTACCAAATCAGTTATACTCCTGCCTTCTCTTCTCTTGATGTTTCAGTCGATGGATTTTGTTATCGATTAACTTCACGGTGGTCTTGGAGAACGCAAAATATCCTTGACATCCGGGATAGCACAGAGTACAGTTTCAAATCTTAAAGGAGAACCAGACTGAAGGAAATCCTAAAGTCTGAACGAAATCTTAAAGTCGATCGACGCACTGAAGGAAATCCTAAAGTCTGAAGGAAATCTTAAAGTTGATCGACGCATGACATGACCTAACCTAACACTTCTCTTTGAACCCAGGCCTTTTCGAACGATCTTTTCCACGTGCGGTAGGACTGTGCGGTTGACATATGTGCAGGTGATTGTAAGCATATTACTTTCACTTTACTTTTCATCAACAAAAAGCTCATTTAACTGAAATATATGGAAGGCCGTATTGTTTTATGAAAAGTTATCCACCAATGTTAGTGAGTCAGATAAAGATGGTTGATACTTCATAAATTCCGGCACTTAAGAGAATCTAACTTTACTTACCTCTCAGAAAACACACATACGAGTTCTATTAAAAACCGTTAAACCTTAGCAAATTATCATTATCATCACCTATTTAAATGAATGAAAGAAACTAACAAATCAAGGTTAAGATGAATTAATGTGATCCGATCGTGTGTATAAAAGCTGAAGCCTTGAATGGAAACATCATTCGATCATTGATCACCGTCCCAGGACAACTCAGAAATCTATTACCGTAATCTACGCAAGCGAAAAACCAGAATGGCCGACAACTGTATATTTTGTAAACAACCAGTAAGAGACAGACAGCAAGGCATCCAGTGCGATGGCTGCCTGAAATGGAATCATCGGACATGTAATACTGGTAGGTAACATTTAATAATTTTAAATTTATTTTTCCTAAGATCGGAAACTAAAATGGAAACCATCGGACATGTAATACTGGTAGGTATCATTTAATAATTTTAAACTTATTTTTCCTAAGATCGGAAACTAAATTCAGTAAATTTATTGACGATTGATCTGCAATTGACAACGGCTATCTCTGAAATTCAGGCTATGGAATCCTTATTCAAGGTTTTATTTCTGGTGATACTTGACTGTAATGATTGTTAAAGTTTTCACATTTCGGACTCTTTTTCTCATAGATATGTCTTCTTCTGATTTCTCACAGGTATTTCTCAAGAAGACTATCGCGCTGCCGTAAGAGCCGGTGCAGATATCGCTTGGTTTTGTCCGTCCTGTAGCTGTCTTGATGCTGATCCAGTGATCCAGAGTCTGAGACTGACATCTTGGAATCAGAAGAATTCAACCCTCCCTTGCCGTCAAGTGATTCCGACTTAATTGAGTCCACTGTCTACGAGCCCCCAGCCCAGCCAGCCCTCGACGAATCTACCATAGACGATCCTACGCCAAACCCAGTGGAAGCCGAAACTGAACCGCTGACTTTTCAGTTCCTTGAGGGCGGTAGCAGGAGAGGAAAACGGAAATTGATTGACAACCGGGGATACAGTTATAACGCTAAGAGGCAGCGTGTGAATGCAACAGACTGGCAATGCACGGTAAGATCCATTTTATATTAAACCAAAGTTAATAAAGTACATTTTCAATTTTTTTTTCCGTGCCAACGCACGTAAAATTTACGTGCGTACGCAGGCAAACATTACGCAACAGTTGAAATCCTCCTTAACGGAGAATGTGAGGCTGTAAGTGAAATTTACTTAACACAGAATTAATCTTTTTTTAGGGTAACCGCTGCAAGGCTACTGTAATACAGCGATCGCAAAACGTGTTCGAAATGGGAAGGAACCAACATAATCACGCTGCACCAGTCGGGGCGATGATTGCCACGAAAATCAAGTGCCTGGTAAAGAAGGAAGCTTCAAAGGACCTCTTTAAACCGGCATCTGAGGTGGTCAATGATATTCTTTTAAATGAATTGACGGATGCTCCTTGTCCCAGCCTAGCCAATCTGGACAGTCTTCAACGAACTGCTAACCGAGTCCGCGAACAGCTGCGACCACAAGACCCTAAAGACTTAAACTTTGAATTGGAGACAGAGCACATCCCTGACGGCTTTTTTCGCGAAGATATCAAGGTAAGCATACTGGTTAAACAAATAAGTTATATATATATATTACATAGCAAAGAAAAAATTCACAAGTTACACCTTTTTTTGGTTAAAAAGCGAAGTGAAGTGAATTGCTCCAAATTACTTCTTTAATGCATATAACATTGTTCAAAAAGTGTGACTTTTCCGCTTTTGTTTCCTGGGATAAACTGATCATAATTATCAACTTTGGAAAGGACGTTATAATGCAATTCCAAAAGTGTGACTTTTCTGCTTTTGTTTCCCAATATAAACTGACCATAATTAGCAACTTCGGAAAAAATGTTATAAAATTTGTAAATAAGACTCACCAGTGTGTGCTTAGTTAATTGAAGTAAGGGGCTAACAAACGATTTTTTTGTTTCAGATCCGTGGACGCCGTCATTTGGTCTTTGCATCAGACAAATAGAGGTGTTGACCAAGTCAAAAACCTGGTACATCGATGGTACATTTAAACTCTGCCGTCAGCCCTTCTCGCAGTTGCTCACCGTCAATGCCTTTGTGCGAAACGACGACCATGTGAAGCAAGTACCCCTTGTCTTCGTTGTTATGTCTGGGAGGAGACAGTGATTTCCCTCTTGCCAAACGAGCCAAAAGTGAAGAAGATAGTTCTTGACTTCGAAAAGGCAATGTGGCGCACCATCTGGCAGGTGATGCCAAATGTGGAGTTGATGGGCTGTTCCACTAGATGCAAGCCTTATGGAGGAAGGTTAGTATGATAATAAGTTTTATAAGTATGATAGGTTTGAAAAAAAATACCAAAGCGCATGTGTACCGCTAGCTAATTGTCAACACACGTAAAAAACAAAATCAAACAAACATAAAATTTTGAAAAATCAAATAAACAAAACGTCAGTGCAATAGCAAGACTTAAACATTAATTAACCTTTTTTCATTTTCTTCTAGGTACAAGAGCTTGGCCTTCAGGAGGCATACAACAGAGACCGCGGCACGTACGAGTACGTGAGAAAAATGATGGCTTTACCGTTCCTGCCAGCAGAAAAAATAGAAAGACGTTTCAGTCACCTCCAGCGACGAGCAACAACAGAGGCCTTGAAAACATTTAGCCAATACGTCAATGACAACTGGATTATCAGCCGTACCTTCCCACCAGCAACTTGGAGTGTGTATATGGAAGTTGTCAGAACAAACAATGACCTGGAGGGGTGGCACAACGCCCTCAACAGACGAGCGAAGGGAAGAGCTCAGTTGCCCCTCTACATACTGATTCAGCTCCTCCACAAGGAAGCAGCACTTGTCTCCCTTCAAATCAGACTCGTGTCCGACAGAAGACTGAGAAGACATCAGCGTAAGACTTATCGAAAGTATCAGAAGACACTCTTCAGCCTATGGAAAGCCTATGAAGACGGTCAGAAAAACTCAAAACAGCTACTGGAGGCATGCTCTCATTTAGTTAATCCGTTGTAAGTCGTATCCGTAAGTTTAAGATTATAAGAATTTGTTTTTCAGGGGTTCGAATTGCAAACTTATTTAGCTTAATTAAGTTTGACATTAGACTTTAAGTATATTCCAATCGCGAACTTATTTGACTTAAGTTAATATAAGAATTTGTTTTTCAAGTTTTACATTAGAATTTTTTACAGTAGATTTCTGATAGATTCTAATCGCAATCTCAATTACCTTTAGTTAATATAGGAATTTGAATTTGCTCAAACCGCAACCTAATTTAGCTTAGGTTTAACATTAGACTTTGTTAAAGTAGTTTCGAATCGCACACTTATTTAGCTCAAGTTTGACTTTAGACTTTGTTTATTGCGATCTCAATTAGCTTTAGTTAATATAAGAATTTGAATTTGCTCAAACCACAACCTAATTTAGCTTAGGTTTAACATTAGACTTTGTTTAAGTAGTTTCGAATCGCACACTTATTTAGCGTAAGTTTGACTTTAGACTTTGTGTAAGTATATTCCAATCACAAACTTCGAATGTCTTTAGCTTTAGTTGAGATAAGAATTTGTTTTTCAAGGGGCGGGAGTCACTTAGACAACCCACACGTCCCCGCCCGTAATTCGCTTTAGCTTTAGTTAAGAATTTGTTTTTCAAGGGGCGGGAGTCACTCGGACAACCCACACGTCCCCGCCTGTAATTCGCTTAGCAATAAACATGATTGTAAAGATATGCCGTTTACGTCATAACTACGCTTAGCAACCATGTGATGGTTCTTCAGCACGTGCTTTGGAACTTCCTTCAAAACAGAAAGGCAGGGCATATAAAACGAAAACAGTAAGATTTGTAGAAATTATTCAGGGGTTTGTTGTTAGGATTACAGTCTCCTTAACGTTCTAAACGCAAACTAGCCAGTTAGAAAGGAACTGAAAACAGTTCATTTATTAAACGAGCGATTCGAAGATCTTTTAAATCAGGTAGTTGAAGTTTGTTTACACATTGGGGGCTAATCGCCTAGATAGTGGGAGGCTAATTGTCTGTATACTGGGGGCTAGTTGTCGGGGGCGAATTGTCTGGGGGGCGAACTGTCTGACATTCATCCAGATTCCGTATCAGATCGGTGAAGATCGCACGGCCTGTTGCGGTATAACTACAGGTCAGAGTCAAAAATCAAATCAAAGTTGAACAAACTCATGCCTTTAACCACTTTCCAAGTGTCGTGTACTCTTTTCGTATGCCACACACTAGTCCTAGAACCATACCAGATCGATGGGCTAAGCTTCTCTATCTCCAGAGACTCTTGAGAACCTCCTGTTGCCGGACGGCCACGATGCTCTTCTGAACCTCCATGATCAAAACATTTTTTGCGTCTTCTTAAAACGTAACCAGTCAAACGACACAACCACATGTTAATGACCACTACCGAAGTAGAACTAGACCAGCCAAAGCGAGGGATGTCCGAATAAAACGAAGGATTTTCAATGATTGTACCGGTAATGGCGATTTCAAATTTAGTGTTGATCTGACAAATTTATTCTGAAGAGACAAATGGCGCGCATGCGCATTATCGTGAACCAGTCCCTTTAACACCTTGGAATACCGTGACAAAAGTGGCGTGAAGTTGACCTCAAGGGCAACTTTCATTTGGCGCTGGAATATTTTCCCCGTTGGATTGCTCAAAAATTTTATTGCATTAATTTGAGGAAGACACCTTGCTCTTTCTATCTGTAGGAAAGTTATGCCTCAAAGGCGTACACCAAGAAGTGATTTTTGAGTCCGAATTTTGTCAATACACTTGTAGTGTTCCTTGTATCTTTGCTTTACGATCGTATATGTTTGATTCGTTTAAGAATTGATGTTTTAAAAATAAATTATTGCCTGAATATTCTGTTTATAATCTAGTTTCTTTATGTGTGCTACTCAATAACATTTGTTTTGCGGAACACTGACCCGATGCAACGCGAATGAATTTGTTCACTCGCTGATAAACAATTGAAATTTATGCTCAATTAAGGATAATCTTTATACTCATACGTTGTGTGTTTTTGTCACCGGTCAGGCGCTATTTGTAGGTATTTCTGGGTTTATATAAGGCGAACTGAGAGAACAGTAATACTACAAATTTTGTTTGCCGATCGGTGACTGTTTTGTTAGCGTGGGTACGACCTCGTAAAAATACACGTTGGTAAATGTTTGTTTCAAAGCAGGACAGGGCTGTAAATCTTATTCTCATCGGCTGCAACATATATCTGAGGAGTAGCAAAGAAAAAACTTGAATTATGGGGATAAATAAAATCAAACCAAATGCCCGGAAATACTCTCGCGTTGCGAACAATTAATTTGAATTTTGTAAATTTACTTGCGTGCATCTAACTCGCTTCCGATTGGTTGAAAAACAATCAGCTACTGTCAGAACTCACACATGCGCATTATAGTGAACCAGTCCCTTTAAATCAACAAAAATGCTCTTTGGGGCAAAGAATGGCCAAAATCCCTCAAATCTCTTTGCAACAGAACAATACTTATTATTTTCGACTTATTTGCATCTGTTTCGCCAGTTTTTTACTCAAATGAACCCGTTAACAGTCAAAATCCGTTTGCTGTTCAATGAATTAACAGCCGTGAACGGTACAGATCAACACGTTTCAATACTGACTATCCATTGCTTATTTAAAAAGAACAATTTAGCCCACGTCAGCTTACATAAGGATATATGACTAAATATATTACTTATCTGTCAAAAACTGAAGAGGTATTGGAAATAAAACCGCTAAATACACGTTCTCTTCACATCTCTTCCGGAGCAATAAGACAATGCGTTACACAGCTGTAGGGACTAGGGAGAGGAATGTCAGCTGTATGGGTGTGGAGTAAGTCAGATTTGTGATGCACAATGCACTAAACCCTCCCTGAAACTAAACAATGATCAAAGTGAAAATGATAAGTCAGGGGGCTGATCAAAAGTAAAACAGACTGATTGCAAAACTTTAGAAACCCCAAAAATATATAGCACCAGGACCAGATACCACATGTGCTGTCTGCTCAAAGGGTAGGAGAGAGAACCTGGGAACGAGGTTGTTGTCTGCTTTCTTGGGTTATCTCGACTGCTGATCTTGAAATATTTCCTTTAAGTCTAAAATGCTTTCAGATAAATCAGATAAGTTAATGTGTGATAGTTGAGTAATTCTTAGAGTCAGTACCAAAGCCACCTTGCTTCCGAGTTGAAGCCAACACTCGTTGACGTATGGCATCGTGTGGATATTCCATGTTAGTTGGAGGGCCCTGTGGAGCTAGCGCTTCAAATCCTGCAGATGCAACGTGTGTAGCAATAGACAAATGCACAAAAGACGTCAAGTCTCACTTAAACCAATATGACTGCTTTGATTCGTCCTTGAGAACGGAAGCAGATCTTCTCGCAAGAGTAGGTAACTGATTTGCCCTGTAAATAAATAAAGCCTTTCCGGTGAGTTAATCAAGTTGATGCACTTTTACTGCTTGTTATTATTCATTAATATTAATTTGTTTATGCATGGCAACGCAACTCGAAAGACCTCTCAAAGGCAGCAACGTAGTTCCGGAATTTGACTTACTAGCTTTTGATACTAACAGCTAACACATTTTGCGATTACCTCAGGATTGCTACATGAATTCACTGCAGCTTCTTTATACATTTTGTTTCAGGGATTTTCGAAGTTGATGATAATCATATTAAAATGTCGATTTGTCCACGACATCGAGACGCCTTTGGTATACGATGGCGTAGCGGCAAAAGAACATGTTCGGCTCCAAAAGACTGGGTAGCACATAAGAGTAAACAAGTCAAGGGAGATCGGGGTATCACCCTACCACAATGTGAAAGGATCTTTAGGCTCACTTCAGTGCTTGTTCCAGTTGCGTCTCGTAAGTAATAAAGATAATGCTAAGAACTGCACAATCCTCTAGTCCCTGGGAGCTGTGTATGCCGCCGAAAGAAACCCGACTAGATGTTAAGTCTGGTCTATGGCGTAGGCTGGGGACTGGTACTTAAAATTTAGAAACAATTAGCTGCCATGAACGCAAAGCTTTATGACCAAATCCTAACTTGATGAGGATCAAATGCATGTCTAAATCAGTGATTAAAACCACATCCGCTGTGTTACAGACACCAACCAAATTTGCAGTGATTATGGAGATTCCACTGTATTATTTCACGAAGGCTGAAATGGATATTCTGCAGATTTTATTGCTGAATAGAGAAGATGGGAAATGTACTCATGAGTTGTTATTTTTCTGTTTTAATTTTAGCCACTTGTAAAAAATGTCAGCTGGTGCTTTCATCAGGGGCACCTTCATCCTCGTGTGAAAAAGATGTCCCCCCTCCAATCGCAAAAGAGAAATGAGATGTCTGCACATCATCTGCTTCATCACCGTCCATTACAAAAGAGGATGTCCCTTTCAAAGTCCAACAAGCAAAGGCAAAGGTCCTGTCAGTTATTGACACACACTGACGAAATTGACTCGGTAATATATTATTATCATCAGAATCAGAGACAGGATTTGGAATTGAAACAGGTTTCAAATGGCTCCTTCTTGGGACCGTAAGTGAGTGACAGGCCTGCACGGACTCCTCATGTGGTCTTGGCGGTCGCCTCGCATGATAGCCTTACAGTTAGATTTTTGATCTAACAAGCGCATCCTTTAGGGATTTACCTCTTTTGTACGATATTATCGGAGGTTTCAAATAAATGGTTTTCAGCAAAGGCTGATTTTGTATTAGACTCCATTGTTCCATCAGTGTCTGTTTGAGGTTGTTAACTGCTGGGTGGTACGTAGTAACAAAAGGCAATATCCTCTCATTAGCCTTTTGCTTTTGTGTTAAAGCCGATGGTCTAGCAGCAAAGTTAACCCCTGAAAGAGACCTTTCTATGATTGTTTTAGGATAGCTGCGTGTCCTAAGGCGTTGTTTGAATTTCACAAGGCTCTCCTCAAATGTTGTTTTTGAAGAGTTAGTTCTAAGCAGTCTTATTGCTTCGCCTTTAATG